TTTTCTTTAACAGCTGAAACATTTCCCTTCATAAAATAGCCCATTGTACTTGAATACTGTAAGCCTCGATTTGATATTATACGTCATTACATTATGCTGCCGGTTCAAATAAAGACGCAGGTAAAAAGACGAGTGACTGGTAGATTATTGAATCCAGTCACAGTCGCAGGTAGACAAAAAAGGTAGTAAAGGCGCCGACGTCCGATTCAAACCTAGGCGCTTCTCTTGACGACTACTGCCTCAGGACATTGGGCGCTACTTAACTGCCAGATCATCTGTGCCCCAACAATAATCGTTTTAAGCGTTTCACTAAGTTTTTAATCCATTTTTTTTTTTTTTTAGTATTGTGATAATAAAAAAAAAAATAAAAATAAAAGATGAGCCTCTTTGTAAGTTTTTGAATATAAAGGGCATTAAAGAATCTCAAAATGTCTTGTTGCCCCAACTGAGCCTCCATTAAATGTATTTTATCTACAATCCATACTTTACAGCCATGATTCTGGTTGTTTTTCATTATTTTTCAATAAAACACACAAAAGGAAAAAACAAAAACATTATTTGCTCAAGTTTTTGCTCTAAAGTAAACTTCGGAGAAGTTTGTTTATGGCGCATTTGAAATATTGCAGATTTCCACTTTCTTTTCTCTTTTTTTAATGCAAAATATATCGTGTGATGGTAAATGTTTTTTTTTTTTTTTTTTTTTTAATCCTGCTTTTGGCCTTTGTAAGTCTTGAAAAGTTAAAAAAAAACTCCTTGGAGGGGTTGGGAAAAGTGCCAGTGCTTGTTGGCGAGAGTGTGTGATCAAACTTAACCCACAGGCTTCCTCTCCAAAGTCATCATCCCTTCAAGGCTCAACCATCGTTGTTATTCACCACGTACAGCCCTGCCTCGTTCTGTTCTCGGGTTAATCACAGTGATCTTTTTTTTACGCTTGGTCCTTATATCAACCGATTAAAAACCCTCTTGAATATAATGCTGCCTTGTCCTTCCACCTTACAGAGGTGAGTTTGTTTGTCCTGATTGACTTAAATACTCCTGAAGTCAGATGACAGGCGGTAACCTGAGTTCAGCTCTGCACTGGAAGAATGAGCAGAGTTTCTTAGATAATGTTCGAAAAATGGTTCCTTTGTGTCATTACTTTGACTCTTGTGTTCCTATCAGACGCATGTGCTGTTATTGTCACCATGAAGAGAGAATGCGTTTGAAAGAAAAGTCTATTTGAGTTGAATGACTTTGCAAGGACTATTTTTTCCCCCCCAGAACATCACTGTCAGAATTGGACACTTGGGAAAATCACTTTGTAAGATAAACCTCCCCTGCAGTGTGTTTGCTGTAGTTGGAGGTTATGAACATGCAGCAGGACTAGACTCAGTGAAGTTGGCTGAGCTGAGGCACCAGTCTGCATTCTGTCCTCACTGGGGGGGGATGCTTCAATGACAAGTTACTGCCTCTTCCATTACTCAGACGGCTGTAGCAATTAGGCACCAGGAGGAGGATGTATAGCTGGTTTATTTATGGCCAGGTCTCCTCTCGCCCTGACCAGCATGTCCTGCTCCTCCCTCCCCTCTGCTCCACACCACTTGTGCTCAATTTGTCCAGTTAATGTCTGGGTGGACTGTGCAGCTCTGGGGACAGTTGGAACTTATTTTTATAGCCTTGTTTGCCCTCCTCAACAAAAACGTAAACACTGGTCATTTGTTGAAATGATCAAGTTCACCTTTAAAGCTGTGTTGTCCTTTTCTTAGCCTGTTATGGCTGTGTGTGTAAGTACTGGCTGTATATTCCCACAAGCAAAGGTTTCACTAATGTGATGCAAACATTACGAAGCCCCTGAGGAAAACGATTAGCATGGATGGTCGAATGTACAGAGTGTGACTTGATAACCATGAGAGCACAGTTCATAGCCTGTTTAATAGTGATGCATATTTGTTTCCTTGAGCATGACCACAACCTTCCTCTCAACCTTAAATAATTCAATCTAATTATCTAAACTTAACCTTAAAGGCTTTATGTGTGATTTTTCACACTTAAATGTAATAGAGATCAAGTACATCCTCTGAAAATAACTCTGTGAGTCATGACTGTCTACAATGAGAAACACCCGAGTCCCACTGTCTGTGATGTTTTCAGAGTTTTCAGAGTCCTATCTTCAGTTTGTTTACATCGTAGGGACAGCCGGCTGACTCCTCCCCTCGCATATAAAAGTTGTTTAATTCAGGGACTAGAGAAAAGAAGAATAACATACTGTACTCACTGCTTAACTGTGTTTCTAGATCACGCTCATTTCAGGTAAATTTACATGCAGTGTGAAGATACGAGCATAATAAAGATCGCTAGCATTAGCATGATAACACAACAATGGACCGCGAGTTATTTTGGTTTCATGCTGGTGCTCAAGGGCGACATCTGCTGGATCAAAAAAATCGCATATAAAGCCTTTAATGATAGACTTGGAAAATGATAAAACACTTATTTCAATCAGTAGTGACAAATATGACGGCAAGACTTAACAAAGCTGTGTACTATCACTTTACTTTATAGGGGTTAGTCTTTTAATGTCACAATTTTATTTGATCTCGATTCTTCGGGGTCGGGATCATAGACTATACATTTTAATGGAGGAAGCCTGAGTGAATTCTGCCATCTGTTCCTGCAGGGGGCTCTGGAGGCTCATCGGCAGCAGCCTCCATGCTGGAAATCCTGTCTCAGCCTAACTTTCAGTCAACCTAACGAAAGGCTGAGAGCTGGAGCTGAGGCGGGTTTTAAGCCTCTTGATGAACCGTTGCATCGTGCCCTCCTGTCAGTCATGTCAGCTGACTATGAATAACACTTTTCGTTTTCAAAATCAAAACAGAGCCGTACAGTGTGTGCCAGTGATGACAATAACTAATCAGACCTATTTTGTTTTTTGTACCAGGCTGTAAACATGTTAATTTATGCTGTAAAAATTGCCTTTTCGCCTTCGTTTGTGACTTCCGGTTTTCCTGGAGACAGCCTCAAGTGGACAAAAGACGAACTGCAGGATTTTGCACTTCAGCATTGGCTTCATTTTTCAAGACCGGAGGTTGCGGCTTCATCCAACTGATTTATGATACATTCCCTATTTTTTATGTCAAAATCTATTCTTTGAACTTTATTATTTGACATTGAATACAATTTTTTTTTTCATGTTGCGTTACAGTATGTTGTTTTTCAATATGTATGGCTGTTACCTGCAGGTCTCTTGTAAAAGACATTTATAAAACTCGATGAGACTTCCTGGTTAAATCAAAGAAAATGACAGTTCAAAGCTCCATAAAATGTGTTTAAAATAATGCAGTTTATGTCAGCTGAGTGCAATAATGTAAATACACGAAGGCTAATATAAAACGAAGATAACATGTATTTATGCTTCACTTGCTTAACTCTTTAAAATAAGTAGAATGTATAGGCTTAAGCTAGTTTATAAGATATTAATGAGAAAATTGCTGGTGAAAAAAAAGACGGGATCATAAATCTAAAGCCTACATGGTTGACGACGCTTTAGGATTTTTTTTGTCCTTTCAGAATTGGCTGCAAGATCGGTCAGTTGAATATTTTGTGAGCTCTGGCTTTTGATTCGTTCCTGAGTTCTTCACTTTCATTTTGCAGACGTTGGATATTGACTACGTCAGGTCAGGCCTCCTCTTACCCGGGGGGGATTGTAGAATCCACAGTGCACTCCAATTCATGCCTTAAATGAAAATGGGACGGACTGAATGCCTTGCCGCTCCATGGACAGCACAGTCAGAACGTCAGTATGTAGGACACATCCATCCACCACTGACACTGAGCTGTAGCCAATGTTAGCAGCGCGGCTGACGAGTCTTGACCGACACACATCCTGCTGCATCAGTGTACCAAGAAAGGTGGAGAGGGTGAATGGAAGAAAACTGCAGCAGCGGGTTTGTCGTGCTCGAACTGGTTGCTGGTGAAAATCAACTTAGGACGTGTGAAAGTTTGTTTTAAAGAATCCATTTTTAGACATTTTGAATCTGACGTGAATAGATTTTTTTTCCCATGCACACCTCGAGTTTCGGGTAGAGAAATTGTCTCTGCACGCAATCACAAAAGGTGGATTATTATAATGATTTTACCTTTTGACGGAGCCAGGCTGGTTGTTAGCGTCAGCTGCTTCCAGGTTTTATGCTAATTAGGCTAACTGTGCCTTCATTCTGCATTTCTGCATAAGATGGAAAGAGAACATGTACATCTAATAATGAACAGGAATGTTATTTTTCATGTGTATGGGTAGAGATAGAGCGTGTTAATCCATTAAGCTCATGTCTGTGTTTCCACTTTACAGACCTCAGTGTTTCTTTAATGAATATGTGTTACACATGTGTACTTCAGGCACCTTTCACGTGTTTGTCCATGTGTTGTTTGTCATACTATAATTGATTTTCCACACATCTTGTCTTTTAATTCCTGTACGGGAACATCAGAGATTTGAACAAGGAACGTTGTTATGCTAACAAGTCAGATAACGTAAAGTCATTCTAATCTGCTTCCTCTTGTCTTGCACTTCCTTCCTGTTCATATCTGTTCTCTGCAGCCTCAGTGGTTGTCTCACATTACACTGAGCCTGGTACATTCTGATCATGTCCCATCTCCCAGCCCTCTCTCCTCCTCCTCCTGCTCCTCCTCTCTCTGCTCCTACCTTACACTGAGCGCTGTGTGCTGCTGATTCAGCGTGTTATGATGATGCATGTATGAGAGTTCCCGGACCCTGATTTTGAAGGCATTTAAAATGCTGCCGGCAGTGGACAGAAGTAATCTCTCTTTCTGCCAATGCAACCTTCAGCTCAGGGGGGAGTTAGCGTGCTGACGGACCACCTCTCCGGTCTACAGGGCGGCGCTGTTCATTCTGCGACATCCTCCACTATTACCTGTGTCTGTGTTTGAATCAAAAGCATACTACTTCAATCTTTGTACTTGACCAAATGTGCTTCAACTTGCCTCTCTCTTTTTTTGCATTGCAGACGACACGCCTCATTGCCAGTAGATGTCTCAGAGATCCCTCTAAACCTTATTGCCCCTGTGTGTAGAAGAAGTTACCCCTGTCGCAAATGGAAGTCTGCATCTTTTGGGTAAATTGAAGGGTTTTTTATTGAGTCACCTTTTTTCATCTGGCCATGACTCCCTTTAGCTCATCTCCTAACAGTCCATCCCATCACATCACCTTCTTTCCTGTTGCCAGCCTACAATATCACTCTCTTTATAAACCTGAAGGAACATCTAATTTACCACACTCCCATTTCCCATGTTGCTACTGTGTGTGTGTGTGTGTGTGTGTATTTTTGTTTGTCAGTCTGTTCCTTTCCCCTTGTGAGAACTTCCACCGCCGACTGTGCACAAGCTGGTGGGAGGCCTCCTCAGACTCCAAATCCCCTCGGATAGAAAATGAGCAACACCCATCACAACTACAGACATGCAGCAGAAGCGCAGCAAGAGAAACAGAACTACTTTCTGGGGTAGAGCTGGCAGAAAAGAACCCAGTGATTGGCACACATCGTTCTTTAAATTGCTTCTATCTTTCAGGAGTACTTCAGAAGAGCATATCTGAGAAAAGGACTGACAAGCCTTAATGCACTGCCTCAACTTTGTATATGCGATTTTGCATAGAAGATCCTGCGGCACATGTACAGTACAGTAATGCCTTGCCTGGTCGTCCGTGCAGTCCTCCACTCGGTGTAGATGCATTTCCTTGGCGTTCATTACGGCTGCTCAGCGAGGCCCTGAGAGCTCCTCGGGTAATGAGGGGAGATGGGGAGAGATGAAAACCCTGGGAGCGTTGAGCAGTGGGACATAGGCTTCAAAAGCTTCATGGCAATTTCAAAGGGTTTTTATTCTTGATGCCTCTCTCGCTATATCTATCGAGTATCCAGTGCTGAGCTTGAGAGCAGTTCTTAAAGCAGGTTTATGGCAGGGGGGGGATGTGTGAAATATAACCCTAAAGGCTTTGGCTTGAGGGGGAAGGAGATAGAGCAAGCCCTAATGAGTCGTGTTTGTTCACCATGTTTATTGATTCTAATTAGCCGTGGAGATGTAGAGAGTATGGAGAATAAGTGCTAAACACTTGTGATTACAGTGAGGTCTCGAGCTGTCCCGCTCTATTAGGAAGCATTTGGCAGAGAACATGAAGAACAAGTGCACATCAATTACAATTGCCAGGGGAGTTTTGTTGGAATGACGTTTGGGTCAAGTTGGAACTTACAATGGGAGGTAGGTGTGGAGATTGGATAACGAATGCAATTATGTTAAAGCCCTGCGAGGCATTGAGAAAGTGACACATGGCTGCAGGTAAAATCCCACTGTGAAGCAAAGCTGCTGCTGTACACTGAAGCAGCTTTCGAGACAGATTATTAGGCTTTAATATTTGGCAGATATAAGATTAAAGATGTCGACAGAAGGAAGGGTAACAGGAAGAGATAAGAATACTCTCATCTTTTGGCTTTTTCTACTCGTGTACGTGTAGATTTGCGCTGATCCTGCTCTTTGCAAAGCATTAGGCTTTAGGATGTTTTAAACTGCGAGATCGAGCTGAGAATTGATTTCAGTTTGTAGCTAGTCTCCCCTGAAAAACTTCAAGAAGTAGAGAATAACTCTTCTATTCTCAGTTGGTTTGCCTTGGAAACATCTGTTTTTTCCTTAAGTAAAATTATTCTTTAACTGTTGATTGGTGAAGCTTTGAAAAGCTGATTAGTTAGTTTGATTCCTTTAAGAAGCTTGGGTTTCTGTTCGCCACAATAGAGCTGATGCAGGTTACACATTTGTAAGCTTTTTTTCCAAGTTTTTTAAATCAGATTCATTCATGTAAAGTTTTAACCCAAAAGGTGGAGATGCATGTAAAAAATACATGAAGCACTTTATTCAAACAACGCTCCAGCTACTGTAGTCTCAATTAGAACCCAACCAATTAATCGGCCAGCTGATAAAATCGGCCGATATTAGCAAATCCAGTGACTATCGGTATCAGCTAATTTCATCACAGATATGCCCCAGTATTACTAGATTGAATTACTAGTCACAAAGCATTTAATTTGAGTTTCATTGTATTGCACTTGCAGTTCTCTTTCACCAGCACAGGGTGCTTTATATATTACAACAGACATTTTCACTCTCCACAGTGTCAAGTGGTGATGCACGTTCATGCAGAGTTACTTTCCAGTTTAGTGACCATCTTGTCCTTGTTATATATCTTTATGTAATAAATGTATATATTTATCTATCTCTACAGATCGAACATACATGTCGGCCAGTATATCGGTATCTGATTTTTTTCTCTCCTCAATGACGATATCAGTATCAGCCCCTAAAATACCATATCGGTCTTGCCCTAGTTTCAATAATGTAGCACTTAAATACCTTAAATGCCTTTCTTGATGAAGTCCTTAAATGCTTTATATGCGATATTTTGATCCAGCAGATGTCGCCCTTGAGCACCAGCATTAAACCAAAACAACTTACGCTGCATTGTTGTGTTAGCATGCTAATGCTAGCGATCTTTATTATGCTCGTATGTAAATTTACCCGAAATGAGCATGATCTAGAAATGCAGTTAAGCAGTGAGTACAGTATGTTATTCTTCTTTTCTCTAGTCCCTCAATTAAACAACTTCTATATGTGAGGGGAGGAGTCAGCCGGCCGTCCCGGCGATGTAAACAAACTGAAGATAGGACTCTGAAAACTCTGAAAACATCACAGACAGTGGGACTCGAGTGTTACACCCATTGTAGACAGTCATGACTCAGAGTTATTTTCAGAGGATATACTTGATTTCTATTACATTTAAGTGTGAAAAATTGCATATAAAGCCGTTAAAGGAATCATCAGTCATGATATTTGTGATGCAAAATATAAATTGTGCCAAACTGTCCAAGAAAACAGAAAACCAATGACTTGCTTGCTGAGCTCATATCCAGTGGCTTTACGCGCTACTACTGCATTAACCTCTAATACTTCTCTCTGCTAGTGATGTGTCGCTCATGAATGATTCGTTCAAAACGAACGAATCATCTGGGTGAACGAACTGAACTGAATCACTTACTGAAAAGAGTCGTTCATTTCTCAACTTCAGTTGCGCTCTCCTCTCTCCCGTCTCGTGTCTCTCTCTCTTTAGACTGTAAGAGTCGCTCAAAGCCCGCCCTCCCTCTCTCTTCATGTCAGTGATACGTACTGACTGAACCAACAGGACGGAGTCGGTCGGGAGCTCTGTGTCACTAAAGCCCGCCCCTACTTCTCCCTCTCATATCTCCAAAATTGAGGAAGTAGCAAATATATTATTTAACATTTAGGTGTCACGAAAATGTTTATGCTTTTTATATCTGCTGTCAGTTTACAAACGGCTTTTATATCCAACTTAATTTCACTCAGCTGACTGTTTTAACATCCTCTAACGATCGTGTTTCAGTCAGGACAGTGTGTGTGTGTGTGTGTGTGTGTGTGTGTGTGTGTGTGTGTGTGTGTGTGTGTGTGTGTGTGTGTGTGTGTGTGTGTGTGTGTGTGTGTGTGTGTGTGTGTGTGTGTGTGTGTGTGTGTGTGTGTGTGTGTGACTGAGGCTGGTGACTCGCAGTCTCGCTCGTTCACGTTCACTGAACCAACTGAACGAGAGCTCCGACGTGAGTCACTGAACGAACTGAGAGGAGGAGCGGAGCTCTCATTCGCTGAACGAGAGCTCCGTCTCTGAGTCACTCTCTTCCTCTCAGTCAGACAGTCAGTGAGTGATTTGTGTACTGAACGTACTGAACAGAACGGTCGGGGAAAATAAATGTGATTGTTTTAGCAGCTTTCAGTTTGCAAACTGTAGCTTTATGCAACTAAATTCTCAGCTCATTGGCTTATTATTCACCACCGGCTGTTCTCAGTACGATCGCGAGCAGAACGAATCTTTTGAATGAATCACTTTACTGAACTGATTCAGTACACTGAAAAGAACTGCTTTTCCCATCACTACTCTCTGCAGTTCTTTTAGGAAGAACAAAATATTTAGCAGCTGTGCCCCACAAACAAAAGCTCTTTTTACACAACCTGTTGAAAGTAGTTTATCCTGTTATATAAAGGTATCAACACCAAATGGGGGAATTGTTTTCCGCGGTTGATCTGAGAGTAGAGGTAGCAAGAGAGCCAAATTGAAGATTGCTCCCTTGAATTTCCTTATTTAAGTGTTTATTTATTTAAATTTAAAAGGAGAATTGCATGCGTGGTTAAGGCACAAGTGTTTCTGGCTTTTTAGACTTTTATACGATGCACTGTTTATCAATCAATCAATCATTATTCGTATAGCACCAATTCACAACAAGTGTTATGTCGAGATGCTTAATAAGAGAGCAGGTTAAAGACCAGAAAACTTGATACTGTATAGAAAAAACAGTCAGCAGTTCTGGAGCTTTTGACTTTAAAACCAGAAAGGCTGAGTGAACATTTGGTAAGACTGTTTTCTTAACCCATGTTGAAAAATGTCGTAAATACGATATAGTTTGATGACAACAATTAATTCTATTATTATAGAAATCATCATCTAGAAAGGCATTGTGTTCTGCAGTCAGTGTAGAGCTGGACAGAATGGTTTGCTCTACTCTGCATGTGTTTGTAGAAATGTTGTCCATATTCAATAATGTACAGATGTGCACGTTTCAGTAATATTTGCCGATGTGGTTACTCCGCTAATCCAGACTGTGTATCAACATATTGGCTTGCAAATACTGTACACAAAAAAAAAACCTTTCTAACAGCACAGGAATTGTTTAATTTCATGGCGGCTTATTTTCATGTATTTGCTTTTTAATGAAAGCTCATGGGTGCTAACTGCAGGCTTTCAGACAAACATCTGATGTCACTGTTTGTTATCTTCAGTATCTGTCAATACGGTGTTTGCCCAGTGGTGTGAGGTCCAGATTACTTCCAGTTTGCGCTCCACTGGATGGTGTGAATCAGAAACAGATAGTGGCCCGTGTAAATGGATTTTCTTTCAATATCGAGTTCATCTCATTCTTTTATTTCCCGCTCTCTCTCTCTCTCTCCCTTCTGAGGTTTCATCCATTTACACCCTGTCTACAAAGGTGGGCACCTATGAACCCGTGGTGCTGTC